TCAGCCCCACCATTTGTACAATTTTGAATCCCTGCCTCCCATGAATGCTTCCGACCAAATATGATCAATATCCATGACATAGTTCTACAGAAGAAGTCGTTTATAGAAATATAGCCAAATTGCCCCCTTTTGGCCCCGCCCTCAGTACCCTTAATCCCCACCACTTAGAGATGCTTCAAGTCAAATATGGTTGATATCGATCTCTTAGTTCCAGGGAAGAAGTCGCTTAAAGTAATATAGCCAAATAACCCTTTTTGGCCCGCCCCTCATGTCCCACAATGGTGTGTCTGACCTGGGTGGTCAGACACACCATTTGTAGAATTTGAAATTCCTGCCTCCCATTAATGCTTTTGGCCCAGCCCCTCAGCCCTCTTGAAGGTCAGCCCAACCATCTGTACAATTGTGAATCTCCACCACCTGGGGATGCGTCCAGTCAAATATGGTTGATATCCATCATTTAGTTCCAGAGAAAAAGTCGCTTAAATCAGTATAGCCAAATTGCCCCCTTTTGCCCCACCTCTCAGCCCTCTGAGGGGTCAGACCCATTATTTGTACAATTTTGAATCACCACCACCCCCTCGAATGCTTCCAGTCAAATATGGCTGATATCCACTTCTTAGATACAGAGAAGAAGTCGATTAAAGCAATATCGCCAAATTGACCACTTTTGGCCCCGCCCCTCAGCACCCTGGGGGGTCAGCCCCATCATTTGTACAATTCTGAATCCCCACCACCTAGAGATGCTTCAAATCAAATATGGTTGATATCCATCTCTTAGTTCCAGAGAAGAAGTCGCTTAAAGCAATATAGCCAATTACACTTTTTGGCCCCCGCCCCTCAGCACCCTGGGGGTCAGCCACACCATTTGTAGAATTTTGAATCCCTGCCTCACATTAATGCTTTTGATCAAATATGATTGATATCCAGTGCACAGTTCTACAGAAGAAGTCGTTTGTAGCAATATAGCCACATTTCCCCCTTTTGGCCCCGCCCCTCAGCCCCCTGGAAGGTCAGCCCAACTATTTGTACAATTGTGAATCTCCACCACCTTGGGATGCTTCCAGTCAAATATGGTTGATATCCATCTCTTAGTTCCAGAGAAGAAATCGCTTAAAGCAGTATAGCCAAATTGCCCCCTTTTTGCCCCGCCCCTAGCCCCCTGGGGGTCAGACCTATCATTTGTACAATGTTGAATCCCCACCACCTAGGGATGCTTCCAGTCAAATTTAGTTGAATTCCAATCAGTGGTTAAGAAGTGGTTAAGAAGAAGAAGTCGTTTAAAGAAATTGTTGACGTACGGACGGACGACGGACGCAACGGTATCTTGGTCCCTTCGGACCAGGTGAGCTAACAAGGGGCACAGAGTGGCCAAGTGGTTAAGGCGTCTGATATTCTGCTACCACTAGCCCTCTACTACTGGGTCGGGGGTTCGAGATCTACGTGGGACAGTCGCCAGGTACTTGACGTAGGTCAGCGGTTTTTCTCCGCGAACTCCGGCTTTCCTCCACCACCCAAACCTGGCACGTCCTTAAATGACTTTATGCAAGTATCGCTCACCCTAAACAATCGCGGCAAAACGCTAATTAAAGCACGCATACATTACACACATGGAGACACGTCCTTAAATGACCGTAGCTTTTAATAGGACGTTAAACAAAATAAAACCAAACCAAACCTTCGGGGTGGTATTGCATTGAGGTAGCACTCCAAAGTCTATTGGCATGTGTACAGAGAGAAATATAGAGTTAATCCGCACACAAAATCAACCTGTATTACCTATTATCCTGAAAATACCCTTTATCGAAAAAATACTTTCTATACATCAATGACGTGAACAATTGAATAAAAATAGAAGATGGACGTTTGCATTGATCATGCAACTGTGCTCATTAAACGAAAAAGGCTGACAACATTGATTTTATTTTTTAGAGTAATTATTTTATTAATATCACATATGTTATTACTTAAGTATAAATATGACAATGGTTCATTGGTATTGAAAATATATAACTAGATATATTGATATATATATATATAAATACCTGACACACATGAAAGCATGTCCTTCATTGACTTTGATGTACGTAGGAAGCTACACAAAAGTAACAATACAAACAAAAAACAGATGCAAAACGTAAATTGTTTACTTTAATCCATTCACACAGGTATCGTACGCGTGAATCAAAAGATATGTCATGGATTATACGATCAGTACATTATATGATATTGCTTGTATACAAATTATAAAAAACAGAAAGGAATTTATTTCCTTTTCATGTGATAAAAAGCAATTTTACATCAAAAGAAAAAGGCATTACGATTCTTCCAAATGTACATAAAGAATATCTGTTTTAATCTTATTTGCGACCTTTGTTGAATATAAAACAAATAATGAAGGTAAGAGCTTTTCTTCATTGCACAGAAAAACACCGAGGGGTTTAGTGATATATAACGAATTGTTCACCCCCNCCCCTGCACAATCGGGGGTTTTCGTCTGCATTTTTTGGTTAGGGGCATTAACGAAACCAAAATTTATCCTCAGTTGAATAGTTTAACAAAGTAAATTATGATAAAAAAAATACATACCGATTTGTTACAAGAAGAAATTGCTTTAATATGTCATGGATTATACAATCATTACATTATAAGATATTGCTTGTATATAGATTATAAAAAACAGAAAGGAGTGTATTTCCTTATCATGTGTTAGAAAGCTATTTAACATATCAGCATGCATCGAAAAAAAAGTTATATATATTTAGTTACATTTGCATTAATTAATCATTACGATTCTTCCAAATGTATATAAAGAATATCTGTTTTAATTTTATTTGCAACCTTTGTTGAATATAAAACAAATAATTAAGGGTATAGCTTTTCTACATTGCCCAAATAACAAATTGTGCACCCCTCCCCCTCCTGCACAATCGGGGGTTTTCGTCTGCGTTTTTTGCTTGGGGGCATTAACGAAACCAAAATTAATCCTCAGTTGAATAGTTAAACAAAGTAAATTATGATAAAAAAAACCCATTTACATACCGACTTGTCACAAGAAGAAATTGCTTTAATATGTCATGGATTATACAATCAGTACATTATATGATTGTATAATCATTACATTGTAAGATATTGCTTGTATATAGATTATAAAAAACCAAAAAGGAGTGTATTTCCTTATCATGTGATAAAAAGCTATTTAACATATCAGCATGCATCGAAAAAAAAGTTATATCTATTTAGTTACATTTGCATTAATTAATAATTACAGTTCTTCCAAATGTACATAAAGGATATCTGTTTTAATCTTATTTACGACCTCTGTTGAAGATCAAACAAATAATGAAGGGTATAGCTTTTCTAGATTGCACAAAATAACACAAAGGGGTATAGTGATATATAACAAATTGTTCACCCCTCCCCCTTCTACACAATCGGGGGTTTTCGTATGCGTTTTTTACTTGGGGGCATTAACGAAACCAAAATGAATCATTTGCCCAAATGCAAAACATGGAATCTGTATCTTTCTTCAATAACTTCCCTATTCTTTTCGACGGAGTTTCCATAGTCGCACGTCTTTATATGACCTCGGGTGTTGCAAGGGATATTGAACCCCAAATAAACAAAAAATACCCAAATAAACACGTTTATAAGCGGAACACGAATGCAAAGGGAGATGGCAAGTATCCACACAATTATTATGTGTTTATATAATGTTGACAGCGACGCTCTGAGTCCATAACCTATCTCCACAGGGGTTCAAATGTCAGCAAAATTTGTAGAAAGCAAGTCCGATCGAGGCTTCAATTATTGGCACATGCTTTTGCGTCTGTCGTAGTATTGTCTGATAGTGGTATTGTTTCTCCAAGTTATATTTCTTCAAGTTTTGTTTCCCTTCGTTTCCGTGGTCGCACGTCTTTATATGACCTCTGGTTTTGGAAGTAATATTTTCCTTTCCGCCTGTACAACAGACAAATAATGTAAGTGTTACCTAGCCGACAGGAAGCTATTGGTTCTATATATCTGAGCATTCTGTATATCATATAAATAGAGTTCGATAATTTGGCACATGTTGCAATATTGGAAATACGTCTGATTTCATATGTAAGTTATGTGCACAACAAAGAATCAATTTTTAGAATAAAAATAACACCACCTAGCGGAAGAATGACGTATTATAAAACAGAGTTTCTGACGTCACAATTTCAAGGAAAAAACATCGAATATCGAACAGCTTATTTCAATGTCCATATATATTTTCAGTAAATGACCCTAAACTAAAAGGGGCCGTGTTGGCCAAGTGGTTAAGATGTCTGGCGTTCTGCTACCACTAGCCCTCCACCAAACCTAAACTTATAACAATGGTGTCTCAATTTATTTCAAGTCCGTCTTGACGTATGAAAAAGCATTATCAAACAACCGTTTACCAATTCTCACGAGAGTTTGAATGGTCGTCAAACTTGACACGACAAAATATCTTTTCTGCTATATCGCATGGAGGGATTACCTTTATCAAGTGCCGTAGACGACCATTTGTCAAAAACAAGATCGTTTTCCATCACGCTGTACCTGTAGATACTACTGTAGTAAGTACTAATTTATTGAGCAGGTCAAATAATCCAACTTCCTACCTCAAATTCAGCCATACAGCAATGCCGACGATTACACCACAAAGAATGAGAGCACCTAAGGTACCGCCAATGATGACTCTTACGTCATGTTCTACAAATAATACAGGAAGAAATATGTCACAGTGTCATCACATTAGAATAAATGTTGAATTAAAATATGAATATCGAATTACCAATAAGTAGAACTATATTAAGGACACAACTCAACCTCATATAGGTTCATGCGACAAATCAGACGTGATCGAATATATATACAGAGGCAGTTGTCCTTTCGCGACTACGCATAGGCCATACCTACGTTACACATGGTTACTTTTTACGGAATAAAATCAAACGCATTACATGTATCATGTACCAATTCAATGTCTTATGACCAAGTTCGCTCTTTTTTAAGTAAGTACTTCAACAATTCCCCCCTTGATATAATTGTATTAAAAAATTAAATGTAATAAATGTTTGATGAGAATTAAAAAATGTTATAAGTTTTCCGCTCCACAATGTATTCTCAATGTCACAGCGATAAAGGAGACCGAAGTCGTTTCGTTTTATGTGCAGTTTTCTATCTCCCCAAAAAGAAACATATTCACAAATATAAGTGTAAGAAAACCTCTGAAATCTACAAAATGAATGCCTCAGTATAAGTACGAGCTAAAGTTTGATTAAAGTTGTTTTCCTGAAATATATTCCACATTACGGTAATTTTGAATATGTAAATGTAGGTATACAGTATGGGACGTGTCTGAACTCCGGAGAACGTCTAGTACGTATACGTCCTATAGCTCCAGCTGTCTGCGGGATTCCTCGATTGTACTCTTAGTTTTTTTAAAAACTCACTAAATGCCTGACGTTCTCGCCTGTCACACGTACTCAAGACATCACCAAATATGGACAAACCCCGACACTACCGGAAAGGTAACACACCAAATATGGACATACACGTCAAGGTACGGACAGTATCGAACACTCATCGGACAGAACACAGACAATAGACATAGGGACTTTCCCTAACAGGACACATGTACTGGACTCACACAACCTTGTTATTACATAAACATTCTCGGGTGTTTAATAAACACTAAAACATGTGACATCAAGATCACAAGACAGGCTGCATACAAGTTACAATATGGTAAACGAATAACCCCGTACTTACTCTCAGGAGGAATTTCCTCTTTAACAGGTATGGTAGCTAAAATTTAAAAGAAAATCAACTAATATGTTGCATCTATTTAAAATACACAGTTTAAGGGCAAATGCTTTAAGTGAAAAATTATAGAACAGGACAACTCCTTTTTGACTCTGAACAATCAATTAATAAAGTTTCACAAACAATATTAATACGGTCCACATACAGTAATACTAAAATACTAAACTGTTTGTTAATTCTGACATTACAAAGAATCAATCTGATTAATTTCTTTTAAGCAAGCTATCTGATCACAAGAAAATACTATTTATCCGACAACGACCTTCACATTTCTAATATAAAGTTGAATATAATTTAAATAATAAAAACAAATCCTACAGAATCAATACACAAGGATTAAATCGATTTCAACATTCACATAATACTTCTAAAAAAATTCTTATTATTACCACAAGGACAACACTATTGATTCCTTAGTGATATCAGCAACATACGTTTATAGTTGTCAATGATGTTCAATCAAAAAACATATTACTGGTACTTACTTGAGCAGTCGGAAATATCCGACGACCCTAGGAGTGGTGTAGAAGATCCATCCGGACATTTCTTACAGAAAGTGGATCCAGCGGTATCCTGATAAGTCCCATACGGACAAGGAATGCACTCACTACTGTCTGTATTATAAGTACCGTGTGGACAATCGGCTGTAACAAACCATATTTAATGACCGCTAGTTGATTGTTTGTTTCTATGCGATTTTACACATTTTCAACAACTATTGTCATATGAAGAAACCCCCTAAGAACCAAAATGAAGTGAGAAAAGAAAATATATCGATCTCAAGAGATATGTAGCACATCAGTATTTGCTTTTTTCAATATCCTCTATGCAGAGGAGCAGAAGACACAAAATCAAAACAACTGATTATCCATGTCGTCAAATAATAATAATATTTCGAGGTTCTTTATACCGCTTTATTACAACCTAGGTCGTAGGTCGTTTCAAAGCGGTTCACCAATTATTATCCGTGGTTATAGAGTCTATGCCACCAGCTAATATCTTTTTCAACTCCCTGGGGAGCATACAGCCGGTTCTGCCCTTTCGGCGCTTACAGCCGGCATTCAACAATTCTAGCACTACCCAACTGCGTACTCATTTACAGCTGAGTAGACTGGAATAAGCAGAGTAAAGTATCCTGCTCAAAGATACAACACAGTGCCGTGGCGTAACTCGAACACGGATTTATTCGGCCTGGGCCTTGCGTCTTACTACTAGACTAGCGTGCATCCTTAATGTTTTTGTCTCTAACATTGACATGCAGTGGGATACATCAGATCTATTCATTTGTAGAAGCTGCATGGATCAGGTTTATTGATTTTCTTTAAAAACAAAATGCTTCTGTACAAGGGATTGTTCAAAAAAGGTAAATACTACTTTTCAACTGTTATAAATTTATCAATTTTGTTGCAATTGCATTCAGGTTTGTATACATTTATTCATTGTAGTGTTTGTTTCAATCAAGAACAAATGTCGCGCTACATTGATTTTATTTGACGTTAAAGTAGGGTAAGTTGATTTTCCTAAGTCAAATTTCTAGTACCGCGTATGACCATCGTAGTAAATCCACGTCGTTTCTAGTACATACATAATATTTGTTTTTCCACTGGTGAAAATGTATGCAAATGATTTTGTTTTAAATAATAATACATGAATAGAATGCAAACGTACTACACAATGCTTCTAACTGGATTTTTCCGTCTCTGCAATCAACCTTGCCATATGATTCAACGTCAAAGGCATCATACTCCTGACCATCGACCTCAATCTTCAAAATGTCTGTACTCGTATTGAACTGTCTGGTTGAATTCTCAAGAGTACCAATAGCTTGCAAGAGGACTTTCATAGTCGGACTGACATCTGCAAAGTGAAATATAAAAGCTAATACTAGAATGTAAACAACTATTGACAATTCCTAATGTCCAGGTAGAGGTCACTGATACTAATAGAACATGTGATATACTGTCAAAATCACATTGTATATGGCCGTGTTTACACAGCGGACACCAGCAAATTTTGCAGATAAAGTACCAAACAAACATGATTTTCTCTTAGTGTTTTGCTTGATGTAATAACGCAATTTGGTTTCAGGTTTTAAAGCTTTAAAATTCAGGCGGCATATATACATATGGCTATATCTTCTGTTCTATTAACACAATTTTGTTCATACTTTTAATATTGTGACAAATGATACAGATCGCCTATGTGAATAAAGGCGTGACCTATTTCCCAAAGTCCAAGATGGTCAATGTAGCTTTTGCAGTGAGATTTGTTCCAAACCTGGGACATACCAATGTCCTCATAAACATGCCAAACATGGGGGCATCTTAGCTGTTAGGACGTGAAACCCTATACATGTAAGACCAAAACCACATCATGTTTCGGCGATGTCATTTCTGTAGAATTTGAGTTTAAATTCGTAATACACTTTCAAAAAAGGGAAAACATTTGGTCAGGAGACTATGCCATGTTTCGTCGAAATAGCTTCAATAGAATCAAATATTTCTCAATCAACTGTGTCAAGTTGCTAACTTGTGATTCAGAAAGAGAAGAAAACCATATTGAATAATTTATGTACTTTATTCGCATTCATTTCACAAAAACAAAATCCTAGAAAATAGGTAAGACCTTGAATTTATGTGTTTGTACGATCGCTGAAATTCCACTAACTTTGACCAGATAATGAGAATAAAATTATAAATTAGTCTGTACTTCAATTATCGGTCTTACCTGTTCCTGATGTTTTAATGGAAATCTGATCACCTTGTCCCTCTAAGGGTACTTGTAATACAATCACAGTCGTTGGTGCACTCAAGGAACTCTTTGATCGAACAATGCAACCTATTGTATTACAAATTAACGTGGAATTTAAATAAAGTAAGGTCATATATGCAGTATTATACAGTTATACAGTGTTGAGACACTACCCGCGGGAAGCTCAATACGCGGAGTCTATACACGAGTAGTCTCTTAATTCGTGTTCCAGTAGCATTTAATTCGATATAATGGAAAATAACAAAAGTAGTCTCTTAATGGAGATGGTCATGCGAGCAGGTGTGACTGTTCCTAGGATCTGAGTAAGAGTTATCTATATTTAACATTGCTAATAAATATGGCAATTAATGCCGTCATATTTCGGATAATTAATTTTTAAATTTCCACTCTTCGATTGTTTTTCAAAAATCTTTTCTCGAAAGGAGAACTATAAAACGCTGGTTATGCTATGCTTGAACACCAGAAGAAGAAAAAAAGTGCAATATATTCCTTATTACTTCCCCAACACATCATTTCCTTATAATTCTTACCCTCTGTAGATATATCCACCGTGCATGTTTTTGTTGCTGCACAATCAATATTGTCAAGGGATTTCTCCAGAAGTGCAGCCTTCATTTCTTCTCCTTTATTGCACAAATTTGCTGATTCATACGTTATCTTGGTAACAGTTTTAATATTCTCCGGATAGTATATATCTGTAATCATAAGCATAGATTAAACTGTTTACACTCATTATTTATTGTCTAAAATAACAAGCATATGTGGAATACCATGGCGATACTAATTTCCAAACCATGAGCCAGTCTATGCCAGGTGTTTTAAAATGATATGGTAATACGATGAATAAATATTGATCACAGAATTTGTCATAAAGTGAACACTTACATACACTTACTTTTTCTTAAAAAAAGAAACAAAAAGAACAAAAAACGTCTCACAAACAGGCTAGTCCCGATTACATTGTTACAAAAATGTGTTACTTTTTTCAGCATTGCTGCTAAAATATTCGTCTTTGAATAGTAAGTGTTGAACGTGTTTTCTTATTCAGTAAATGAAAGTTATATATCTCTTACCTGAACATGAAGGTGGTTTCCCATTCCATGTATAAGAGGTCTCCATCCCACATTTGTATTCAGGTAGGGGTGGAAAACCAGGTGCAAACCAAAGTCCGTCTCGACATCGGACATGGCAAGTTGTTAAATCGCTTGTTACGTTACAATCCATCTCAGTTCCATAAGAACGAGGCGGTTTGGGACAAACTAGAGTAGTGAATACAGGAAAGTGTTACTTGTGCTTTTAAAAGTAAAAAGTAAAATACATTGTATATATCAAATCACCAACAAACCAGATGAGGAAAAGACGAACAATCGATTAAAAACAACCAAGGATATCACAAGAAATAAAAATCAATGAAACCTTTTAAAGAAAACAGAAGGCGTACACTAACTATCAAAGAACTTAAAACGTCATCGGAATCCTTTGTGATGGTATGTGTCATGTCAGATACTCTCATGGTAAAACATCTAGAACGGTCGAGTTTATTTTGTCACACAACAGTTTATCGCCATTATGTATCATATACCTCCTTCACGGCAGACCTTAGATTTCAATGACCTATACAAGTTTATAAAATAGTCAATGATACGTATTTCGTTGAAAGTGAAGTTGAAATAAAATATCTTTCAAATAGGCTATATACCAGGACACGATTCTTCGTTACAAGGCTCCAATTCTATTTGTTCGCCTGTACAAGGCGTTCCATCTGGGTCTGGATAGGGGTCGTTACATTCTCGTTGTCGTGTCCTATTTCCTCCGTCACAGGACTTTGAGCAATCAGACCAATTACTCCAGGACGCCCAGCCTCCGTCAACTTACGATAGAAAACAAACCACACATCGTATTAGTAAAATAAGGAGCAATTATTTGTTCATGACTTCAAGTTGATTACAATCAGTGTTTTATACCTGTTTTCACTTCCCAAAGTTAAGTTACTCATTGACTGTCGAAATGCCATTTAAACATATAAGACTCTTTGCTTTTCCTTTAAAGATAAAGTGGCTACATGGAAAAAAATTCGTTTAAGTGATTATACTACAAACAAATATATACTGAACAATGTATGGTTATTTTATGTGAATAGGAATATTACACTCCAACAATACTAAATATTACCAATTTCGTAGTCGCAAAGAATTCCTTTGAATCGAGTGGTACACGAACAAGTATAATTATAACGCAGGTTATGACAGGTGGCCCCGTTTTCACATTGGTGGTTCTTGCAATAGTCAGGAGAAATCTGGCACTTATCGCCGGTAAATCCCCCATCACAGCGACAAGTGAATCCATCAAGACCGCCAATGCAGGTATGGCTGTTGCAAGGGTCTGGTTCACAGTTGGCATCAGCTTTAAAAGGGAATGACATGTGTTCTAATATAAAAAATGGATACAAAGTGATTTCGTCCGAGTAGTACGGCACTTGATTAAGCAATCTAATGATATTGCCGATTCTCTCTCTCTCTCTCTCTCTCTCTCTCTCTCTCTCTCTCTTTCGCTCTCTCTCTCTCTCTCTCTCTCTCTCCTAAAATAAATGAAATGCAGACTTACTATCACAAATACTTGGTGAAACTAACTCGATGTAATTCGATTCTGCATACTTAAATCCCTCCATAGTCACAGCTCCGTTTCTCGTGTGATAACAGGTTGTTGCCAGGGATTGTATGTCAGCTTCTTCTAGAGCGGTATTTGTCAGAAGTAGACCCGAGATATGTATGTCTATAAACAATTATTTCAAGATGCAGATTTTTATGAAATATGTATAATATTAAAATTGTAAATGTAATTCACACAAATGGTTTTACGAAATAAGTAATATGTAAAATCATTCAGAGTAATCGACATCATCACAATATAATGTGTTACAGTATGAATATTTAAAACAAAAAATGAAGAAAAAAAAAAGTTATTCGAACGAGCCTCTTTACTTTAAATCTTCGAATACTTTGCTCAAATATAAGACCACCAGCAGTTTAAACTTGTTAACAGAACTGGAAGTAGAATGTTATGCGTTTATGAATAAACTCTGATAAATACAAGAATTAAAAAATATAAAGACATCTTTACAAACGTTGTTAAATGTATTTACGTTAATTAATAGGTTCTATTACCGGAAGTGCCAGAACTAGATAACAGGACTTCAGAATCACCAACACGCCACATCCCATTAACTGATACTATAGGTGAAGTAAATTGTACACTGCCCTGGACAAACACTTCGAGTTCATTTGACTTTGAATCAATCACCAAAGCAACGTGTTGCCATGAACCAGCCTTCAACACAGCATCCGTTTGTTGATATGTTCTGGAATTGAGATACACAGAGGATCATAAATACTGGTAAATATTGCATGCAACATTGAAAACGAGCGTGAAGAAAGTTTGACATCTTTTTTTTATTATTATTACGTTTCAAAGGTCCTTCCAGAGAGAAAAGGTCACAAAGAAAAAGAAAGGCTTCGTATCAGTATTTTTTAAAAATAACTGGTTTTGATACTGATTGGGATATTGAATACCACAGGCGTAGTAGGCATGTAGTAGGCAACTTTTCTTGTTGGAATACGGTAGCAAGGATACAAAAACGCTAAAATACCAACTCCAGCACACATTCAATTATTTATGCATACATTATACAAATGGAGGTACGTCCATCAACTACTTTGGCTTTGTTTTTGTTTTGTTTTTTAGGGCCAACAATACTGTAAAAAAAGACATTCACGAAAATAAAAAATAAATAATAATAATAATTCGAGGTTCTTGTATACCGCTTTATCACAATCTAGTTCGTAGTTCGTCTCAGAGTGGTTCACAAATTATTATCCGTGGTTATAGGGCCTTTGCAACCAGCCAATACCTTCTAAACTCCCTGGGGGAGCATACAGCCGGACCTGCCATTTCGGCGCTAACAGCTAGCATTCAACACTTCTAGCACTGCCCAGCCACGTACTCATTTACAGCTGAGTAGACTGGAACAAGCAGAGTAAACTATCTTGCTCAAAGATACAACACAGTGCCGTGCCGTGACTCGAACCCGCAACCCTTCGGTCACGAGCCCGGCGTCCTACCACTATACTACCGTGCCACTTAATAAGGACGCTAAACTCTATAAACGATTTTTTTTAATCGGCATTATTTAAATTTCACTAACAATACAAAGCTACTGTCTGAAAGGATTATGACACGACGTCAGGCGATTATGTTTTGATTCAATGAACGTCTGAGATTAACAGTTTACACGTTACGTCTGAGATTGACAGTTAACACGTAATAGGTAAAGAATTGGGAATTTGCTGTAAAATAACACTCAACACATATTTGATGGTTCCCTTCTTTGTCTATCAAACCTGTATAGCGTGATGTTGATCCCTTTTCCGATATCAATTTGTGTGGCGTCTGTGCCGTCGTTGATTGTGACATGGAGGGACACATCATGGTTTACTGGAATCTTAATCCATAATGCAAGGGTAACACTGTCAGCCCCGTCCTGTAATTTTCCGATTGTATCGGATAACAAACCTCCTCCAATAACTGCATCATACACTTTAGATTAAAAGAAAAGATACAAATTATAATTGTGGAGAAACAAAATTTAACCAGGTTCGATAACACAATATTTAATAGATCTTTTTAAGAGGATGTGCTGTTCACAACACGATCACAGATTCTTATTTTCGTGACATGTATGTACCGTTAAACTGAGAAAATAGATTTGTGTAAGCTTGTTACCCAATCCTTAATGATTTGTTACACTTACTTGCTCTTAATGTGGTAAGCAATATACATGTACATAGGGTGCTCTGATAATCGAACTTTGGCTGTGCTGTACCTTTGCATTCTGAGATGTCAGTACTTGCAGATGACATGGTCATTAACCCTGGGCCACATTGTTCACATTGGGTAGCCATCACGTCAGCACCATAATGGAATCTCGAACAAGGTGTACAAGGAATCACCCCGGTTAATGAATAGTAACCTGGTTTACACGTTGCTTTTGACAAAATATGAAAATAAATCAAAGAAAAACGCTGTTAGTCATTATCTTTAAGCACATTTATTTCCTGACTATGTGACCATAATATTTAAATGGTCGCTCAACCCTAAAAAGCCTAACCAATTACGCCATTTATATATCATTATACATTTGCTTGTCCATATGTTTCTACCAGAAATTTGGAACAATGTTTCACAGTTTGACATATGACAATTCTGAAACATTTATTAAAAAGCAATGATATACTGTATAGCTTTAAATTCCCCTTGTCAGTATTTCGCGGTTTCGTTTTCATTGCATCATCACGGGGGTTAAATTTCGCTGTGCACCCGAATCCCATGTGTCGTGCAAAGTATTTTGAGTGTCATTTTTAAAGGTTAAACCGCGAAATACAGGTAAACCGTTTGGAAACAATTTTCCCGGGCGTCGTCATCCGCCAGTGACTTCACTTGAAAGAAAATAAAATGAATATGTACCTTTATAGGAGTAAACTCCAATCAATTAATCACCTACTGTGTACACATACAAATAATGGGCCACTTAAATGTAAGAGTTGTTTTTACATGGACTGCCCAGTTGTCCGGTGATAATCTGTTGTGATAAGGTCCGTAAAAGTGGTTAACATTCTCGATAATTCCGCTGGTGTATATAATTCGCGGATATAAGTCAAAGCGCGAATATAGCGAAAATAAAAAAACCGCGAAATACAACCGCTATACATTATAGCAAAATATGGGATGCAAGACATATATCATAATGTGAATGAATACATTGTTCTTTACATTTAGTTTGTCAAAACGTTTGAACAGCAACCTGAAATTGGTTTATTATACGATTTGAATTTTTGTAAATACCTGTAATAATATCTGATCATTTCGTTTGGTTTTGTATTTTTTAAGGTCCTATCAACAGCTATGGTCATTTAAGGACGGTCTCCCCTGTGTGCAAGATGGCTGCGTGTAGTGTATGCATGTGTGTTTTGGGAGGCTGCGATAGGTTCCTATTTCGCTTGTGTACTTGTATGTGAAGATCTTTACTCTAACCATTCAGTTTCGTTCGGAGCATTAAGTTTGTGTCAGAGGCGGACCCAGGGGTGTTGCCCTAGTTGCTCAGGCAACACCCTTTATTTGTGTCCAAAAATAATCTGGACCATGGTTTTTGAAGATTTCCCCCTATTTCATATGGCATTTCTTTTTAATAACAACCTCTCTTGAACTATGATTTTCTATGGCTTCCCTTTGCCAGTAGTATATATGCCTGAGAGTGTTGCCCAAACAAGGAGTCCACTACTTATACTCTAAACAATAGGGGATTAATCCTCCATTGTCTATATATTAGTAGTGTCTCCAGTCAGGTCAGTGGCCATGGCTCAACGGACTGAATCTACCTAATATAATGTCACGGTGTGGTGATCACCCTGACAGTTGGGAGATGGACTCATAGCATCTGTTTGAATTAGTTATATCGGTAAAGTGTTATTTCAAGGTAAGAGTCTATTTCATGATAGATATACCTGTAATTTCACCGGTGGTTTCAAGTACACATGGTCACCAGGAGTGATTTATTATACCAATAAAGAAATGTAAATTCCAGAAATTTCGAACACAATGTCATTGAAGCACCCTCCTTAGCATCACTTCATCAGGTGATTAAAAATCAATAGTAGCATAAAAGCCTGGCCTGTACATTCTTTTCATTAGGTGTTGCCATTGCACATAATTATGTATGCATACTATTTCACAATAAAAGCCAACAGTTAAATCACAATTCATATTTATGACAAATAAGTTAATATTAAATTGCCAAAATGATCGCCTAAACTACATGTACATGTATCTACAGAAAATCCCCCCATAAACTTTGACCATTTTATGGGCCTGACACAAACATCAACATTTTAACCAAAATTCTACATTTTTTACCATTCTTACAAAATTTGTTAACACTCTCTCCGCTCGGTCATCATAAAATATAAATACTCTATTTTATAAAATATAACCTGGAATGATACCGCAAACTCAGAAAACTATTTTACGCCTCCCTCGATTTGTTTGTCAAGAAAATAATGTCCGATAAATTCTTGCTTTCTACGCTCGGCAGTGCTTTAAATATGCCAGCGGAAAAAAGAAACCGTACATGCCTAAAATGTGTTATAAAAATAAATGTGTATGACGTAGAACAACAAGGTTTTCAGGGACAACTATTTGTTATTTATTAACAGTTGCATTCCATTTTCCACGTTATGGAATCAAAAAGTTCCGCTCGTATATACCTCGTATATCCACCGTTTGCCTGAATGCAAGCCTGGCAACGTCGACGCATGGAGCCTATTAGACGGTTCAAGAATGCTTGTGGGATGGCATTCCAAATCTGTACCAACTCTGCAGCCAAATCAGCCAACGTCACCGGTTGATTAGGTAATGCACGTAATCTGCGCTTCATTTCATCCCAGACGTGTTCAATGGTCGACAGATCGGGGGATACAGCAGGCCAGGGCAACACGTCAACATTCTGCTGGGCCAGAAAGCCCATAGCGACACGAGCTGTGTGTGACCTGGCGTTGTCCTGCTGTAGCGTAATGTGACGTTGCTGCCCTTGCACGAATGGAACGACGTGGGTCCGGAGGATCTCGTCACGGTAACGTAGCGTGTTCAAATTCCTGTTAACAACCAACAGAGGCGTTCTCTCACACACGCGTCACGGACACGTTCTCCAACGCGACGATAAACACTGGAACGGCCGTCACTACTATCCAGGTGGACTCGCGACTTGTCCGTAAACAAAATGACTGCCCAATCCCGTCAAGTAGATCGCAGATGCCTTCTGCACCAGGACAAACGTGCTACACGATGACGTGGCAGAAGAACTGGGCGGATTGCAGGACGTCGCGGACGGATAGCTCGTTCACGCAATCGATTCCGTACAGTTCCCGGGCTTATTGGTAGCAAGCCAGGGATTGTCCGTGCAGTCAAACTTGCCGTTTGGAAGCGATTTCTCAAATGGACAAGCCGAATATGGCTGTCCTGTTGACGTGACGTCACACGTGGACGTCCCGCACGAGGTCGATCGCCGACGTGGCCAAACTGTTGATGTCGTCTCCACAAATCCCGGATTGTGTTTCGATGGACATGAAAACGTGTAAAGACAACGGCTTGAAGCATGCCAGAGGCGGTCATTTTCATTGAGCCTCGGCATAGCATTAATCACATATTAAAACGTTATAATGCTGTTTTTACTGTTCACTGGTCTCAACAGAGTGACCCAACAGATGAAAAATAAACTTTCATTGTCGAATTGGATGGCTGGACGAGAAAAACATGCAAACTGGTCAACGCCTATATAGAGCAAACTGCACGGGAAAAACTTTCAACGACACACGGATAGTGTGTATGTGTCGACATACTCGGTCATGTATGTGAATTTTCATGTATATACAGTTGGTAATACATGTTCTATAAAAATTCTCCGCATGCACAGTTTCTTTTTTCAGCTAGTATAGTTTAGTATTACATCTTCAGAAAACAAAAAATTCCCCTCACTCCTCTCGGCAGTGCAAGTATAATTGTCCCAATCTCAGCAAAAATGAAGTTCTATATATTTTGGTGGCAGAAAGTACATGAAAACCTGCATGAAAATTGTTATTTATTAGTTTAAGTGCACAAATATGTCTTTTCCTGATTTTGAAATTTTGGGCAACACCCAAAATTAATTCCTGGGACCCCCCCCCCCCCCCCCCCCCCTGTGTGTTGTGGTTATTAAATGAAAGATGTGCCTGTACACTTAGGTACTTATAAACAGGCGAAAAAGACAACACTTACACACACAGTCTGTATAATTAATCGTCCCAGAGGATACAGTAGATGTCCCAGGAGGGCATGTCGTACATGTAACAATGTTGTCATCCTCTCTGTAAGACCCTTTTGGGCATTCAGTGCATTCCTCATCATCGTAAATGGAACCCAAGGAACATGAGGCTTCAAAGAGAAAGGAACATAACATAATATTTGCGTGTTGCCGATAAAGCGTCCTCTTCACAATAAAAAAAATGTGTTCGTCGTCTGCAGTTTGGCGGAATATGCAGAGAGAACACTTGATCTGGCTTGGCTACGACAATATATTACGGGTATCCCATTATTGTGGTCTAGTTCTTAAATTTCTTCGCTGCCTATTCTTTCGTGATTTAGAAAACCTTCTTAGTACGTGATAGGAAAACAAAAGATATGAAGTGTAAAGGAAAAGTATGCACATTCATATTACTACTATATCCTTGGATTATGGGGAAAGCTTAAGGAACACTATAAAGTGTCATTACACCGAAATGTCATAACGTTGACACATGATGTCATGCCAGTTTGCACTTTGATCAATCGAATCGACAAATTATTCTCTCAAGAGGAATGACAACGTGAAATAACCTTAAATCTCGACAATACGCCAGAACAGGCAAGTTCTGAAAATGAACATGGAATTCCTTGTTGTCAAATGTATCATGAAAGTTTTGTCAAGATGACGAACTTTGCAATTCAACGATATTTTATAAATACAATAATAAGTTCAATGCAAAAATTTAAATGTGTATAGGAAATGATTTTAATTTGTTAAGCAATATGAATTTTTCGACTGGATCATTGGAAAGTAAGTTGGCCTTGAAAATATGCCAAACATGACTTGTAGTTTCAATGGCTTCGAAAATAAGGCATTGACGATTAAACGGAAGCATACTATTTTGTAAGTACTACTTACCACAAGTGAGAGTCGAATATCGTGGGTATCGACCCGGTTCACATTTTATAGCTGCAAAACCCGTCTGGAAAGATGTCTTATCGACTTCAGCTGCTTCCACATCTAAGGAACCACTCTGTACTTTTTCTTCAATGAGCAACCCAAGTGATTTAGCTTTTGTTTGTAAATGGTTAAAAGTATCCATTGTACTGTTACCATATTTTTTCCATTTTACAACTATGTTAAATGTTACCAATACTGAAGCAGTATTTGTTTGCCGTGTCAGTCTTTTCTTGTAAACATCTCGTCGCCGACGCACTGTGCCACATTTCAGTTCTACATTGTCTACGTTACAATCGTTAGGACAAATACCCTTCCAGCCAGGATCCTGTTGCAAATTCTGCATTTCGGACATAAAATTTTCTTTTATCTTCTTTTGTGATGAAATGTTAGTGCAAACTCCAGTAAAGTAATATAGTTCTCCTGGCAGGTATGATTTCAGAGGATTGCTTAACACTGTAAAATATCAATTAACCATCAAAAGATTTTATACAAGAATGCATTCATAGAACTAAACATGCGATTGGATTTTAGTACATGTAGCTTCATATGCAAAAAGCGCAATTAAAATTTACATTTGTGGACTTTGCAGTACCTGTACAGCCTGGAACTGTTTCGACAGGACTCCACTTTCCAGAGCTGATGGAGCAAGTGAATTGACCGGTGAATCTAGCTATACGTCCACCACCTGTCCCGGCAGGTAGGTCGTAATCCTCATTGCAGTGCATCATGCATTGGACACCAAACATCCACTTATCGCATATGAGTGCCCCGTGGATAGGAGGCTGTAGCTCGGGACACTTATTTTCTGAAACAAAACAAGGACTACTAGTATTATTACTTTATATACATGTTCCATTTGTCGAGTTCTTATAGAGAGATATCGGATTAAACTGGCGTCTAAGACAATTTAAAACTATTTATATATGAATTACATTTACTTGCATTACATATGAATATAACTACTCACGCTTGCAGTAAGGTTGCTCGTCGGTACCCATATCCCAATAAACTACCTTTGGATATGTTGTGTTTCTCTCGCAGGATATCCGATCATTTCCAATCAATGGATAACTTCCACGGCAGGTTAAAGAGCAATTTGATCCATACGAGAACCCATTCGCGCAATCTATGTTCATGTACGAATCGATAATTTTAGGAGGATCACATATTTGTTCTACAATGAAAAAAACGAAATTCTCTGTTATTAGAGGATCTATAGCAGTTTGTGGATTTACTCTCCTATTATGTACAATATATTCTCATACAAATGCGTTATATCAATGTAATACAAATACAGTAAGAAAAACTGTGACAATGAACATTTGTAAAAAGATTAATAGCTGTATCAGTTAAGTGGTCTCCTCCAATTACATCCACATGGAGTCGTTCCTAATAGTTACAAAAACCTTGTCGGGACCTTGAAAGTTTGTACAATGACAGAAATGAACTTTCTCTCCTTATCAGTGGCCAGGTCATCTCGGTTAATGATCGGCCAAAAAATTAAGGATACTTTGTTTGGACCTCATTCGGAACATTTGTAAAACGTTTGGACTCAAATCAAGTCCCTTACAAGACATCGAATACAAATCAAACAATCAGAGGCCAGAGCGGCCATTTTGAATCAAGTTTGGAATAGATAGTAGTAGCTGCGAAAACAGTTTAAACTGTCTCAGCCATTTAGAGCCCAGGGCGGCCATGAAGGATATTTAACTAAAACTAGGATAATCAGTAAATCATTCCTGTACAGTTTAAGTTGATTGGGTCCATACTAATTTGAGTTTATTTTTGTTCGTTATAAACCAACTGACTGTGGCGTTTGTATCGGGTTTCTGATAGATTCGAAAAATAACAACACTTTGTCAGGGTTATGTCAATAACATTCGCATTAATCGGCAGGTGACTTAAACACGTCTTCATAACAATTTGTGATAATACAAAAACCTATATTGGACACTGTTTTTTTTTAACTTCATGGGATCCTTCGGCAATATAAGTAACATTTCCAAAAAAGATTAGATCATTTTTACTAACGATCAACACGGACTGAAAAAATGCAATCAGGTGATTTGTTTCCAGATGAATCGGTGGCCGTATAACGTATTTCCATGAAACCAATTGTAAACTTGTTTCCCAGAGATTGCCCTTTTGTCTGTATGGCTGTTATAAGCTCTCCAGAATTGTCCGTTACGGTCGGAACATTCCATGATATAACAGCAGTCTCAAGTCCTCTGTCTGCATATACATACTGCGTCCCAGGACAATCAAGTATAGATGGAGGTTCCGAATCTGTCAACCAAATAAAATATAAAATTATATAACGAGGCAAATAAATGCAAGGCAGTCCAAAGTCCACCGGCAATGACTTCTATATTTACCAAACAGTACATTTATGTCAGGAAGCACAGGTCACAGTGTGGTCATAGTCATCTAATTCCCGCATTCCGCCATTCTAAGATGTTCTAGTTCACCAAATCTTGTTTCTCCAGGTGAAATAGTAAAGAAGATATGCCCCGGACAAACATTTTCAAAGGTCAAGTCATTTGGTCACAGTTACCTAATTCTTGCACTCCGGAATCCCAAGATGTCCTTGTACACCACATCCGGTTACTCTAGGTGAAATAGTATAAAATATATGCTCCGGACAAACGTTTTCAAAAGTAAATGTCAAAGATCAAATCATAGGTCACAGTGACCGAGTTCTTGCACTCCGCCATCCCAAGATGTCCCTGTACACCAAATCTAGTTACTTCAGCTAAAATTGTATAGAAGATATTCCCCGGACAAACGTTTTCAAAAGTAAAGGGCAAAGGCAAGTCATAGGTCACAGTGACCTTACTATTGCACTCCGCCATCCCAAGATGTCCTTGTACACCGAATCCAGTTACTCGATGTAAAAGAGTATAAAAGATATGCCCCAGACAAACTTTTCAAAAATAAAGGTCAAAGGTCAAATCATAGGCCAGTGACCCAATTCTTGCACTCCGCCATCCCAAGATGTCCTTGTACATCGAATCTGGTTACTTCAGGTAAAATTGTTTAGAAGATATTCCCCGGACAAACGTTTTCAAAAGTAAAGGTCAAAAGCAAGTCATAGGTCACAGTGACCTTACTCTTGCACTCTTCCATCCCAAGATGTCCTTGTATACTAAGTGTGGGTAATTACTCCATGTGAAATAGTACAGAAGATATTCCCCGGACAAACCTCTCGGACGGAAGGACGGAAAAACGGACGGAAGGAGTGCAAACCTGTAGGCCCCCTGGGAACCGGTGGGATACCACATGTAATAATGGACTAGCTACGCCAACACATTAAAAATTGATTGATCGTTTGTGTATTGCTGACGGCCAATCAACAACTTGAGTCATATCGGGCAAACAACACTATCGGTTGTGAAATGATATCGTATCTCATGTCAGTGTTATAGAAATATATATATTTTATTATTACTCTCGGTCTGCTATAATATAGAATCGTATAATACCACTTAACTAAGCTCTGCAAAGGTAGACCTTTTATTGTGACGTCATATTTTACTGATAAAACTTCCATGCAAATATGTTTAATTTAAAACCAATAAGACATATTTAATGATATGAACTAATAACGAGATACCCTTACATATGTGGCTATAGGCAAACTTATGAAATGCTTTGGGAAAAAACAAAAATAGGATGAGAGCTTTGCACAGTGAAAATAAAATGTAAAAAGCTGTTAATGTCACACAAGAATATAATGATGATGTACGAACATTCAATCAAGCAACAAAAACATGTTTCATTTCAGTTGTCTTCATGAAATTAAAATGTGAAAATACAATGTTTCGTCAACGGATCCTCAACAAAAGTAGCACTGTGCTATTTTATTATGATGGATATTTTTATTCAAACAGCAGGATCATCAGAGTGCATCAGTCCCTTTTAAAAAAAGTTAGATTTTACATAACATAATACATTGCAACTATAAAAATTGCAAGAAATACCTTTACACGCGGAAAGAGTGTTGCTCCACTGTCCTGTGCTCTGACAAGTCGCAAAGAAAACATCGGATGATGGCACTTTGTATCCATTCTCACACTTTGTTTTACACACTGTCTTGTACACGAACCCACTTGTAGAGCATATTGGCTGTCCGTGCCGTGGATAGATATGCGTAGAATTTGGACAGGTTTTAACTGATGGATGTAGGGGCCAATAATGTATATATATATATAAATATATATGTAAAAAATGAAATTGAAATAAATAAATAAATGCCAAAGTAACATGTTTTTTTCTTTAAATCATAACATCAGTTTGATATTAAATAATATTTAAATTACATTTCCAATAAAACAGAATTCAACAACAACATATAGACTTGGTTAAATAAACAAACGTCGTCCACAGTCCTGTGTATATTTTGAATTTAAAAACAATCAATTTGGGATAAAAAAAAAAACCAAAAAAACGCATATAATTGATTTAAGCAACAATACATCATTGCAATCTAAAGGAAAATCTTGAATTTTGTTTATAGTTCTCCGTTTGACGTGTGCTTATACTTACAAACAGGACCACAGACGAGACTTATAGACTTTAATAGGGCGTGGTTGCAAACTTGTTTATCAGAAAAACGTTATATTTCATGATATTGGTACCGTTATTTGGTTATGTGATAAAAAGGAAATAGTGTTCGTTTCCAATTTAAATTAGAAATGGTTAAAACTTTCCCCAACGTTTAAATTTCGGCGCCATGATTATTTTTTCTTAATTTGAACGATCCTATAATGAGTGACGTTTGTGATAATACCAACATACCGTCAAAAGGAACAATCCAGTATGAACCAGGCTTAGATGTCGTTGTAGGAAACTATATACTAAATCACATGCTAGCAGATCCTTTTTACAGTAAACAATCAATGTGCACACAAGGAAGACAATTTCACTAACTTTGACAAGTAGGAGCTTGACCACTGAATGTTCCATCTGTTTGGCATATTCTGGAGCTGTATCCACTAAGTCTATAGCCATCAACGCAGTTGTAGTTACATACAGTGCCAGCTATTCGTTCGGGGTGCTCACACGATATGTGTCCGTTGGCAGGATTCGGTAGTACGCTTTTACAGACACGAACTGCGTACCGCAAAAACAAAAACAAAACAATTATAACAAAAACTATAACATTATATACTATAGTATATGTACTAAAAATACAATCATGAAAACAAACCTATGTCTATTAAAGCTTATCATAAAAACTAACTTTTTCTTGTAATGCATGTAATAACTGTAATATCTTAGCTTTGTGATGCTAATATAATCTCCAAGCAAAATCAATAAGGATTATGAAATTCAAGTGTCTAGTGTCATTTTTGATGCTGGTATAACGGACAATTAAGTTTGTCCAATGGAATGATAATGTTATATGTTATATGTTTTTAATCAATTTCAAAAATATCGTCTTACCAATAACACGGAATGTATACTGGCTAAATGCCTTCATACCACTCGAGTCCTCGGCCTTGTATATTATTGTGTGCTTTCCTCTTGGAAACTCAGAATTGGAAGAGAGCCCAGACGTCTGCTTAGGGCTACGAGGAAAACAATAATGATTTCGTCTCGATAACTTTTTTTTTCTTCCCCGCTGACAATTAATGCTATCTGATATTACAAACATTCATGAAAACTTCGGTCTTAGCTGTTGGCCACAGCATAGCCAATTTCAATATTCAAATTGACGTTTGTCTTTTTTCTTTAAGTTTGTTTTTATTTTGCATTTTTTTTGTCGGCCATTAGTTTGCTCTAATGACATATCCTGTGTTGACGGGACGTTAAGCATGTAATAATAATAATAATAATAATAATAACCCCTGAATTTAAAATGCAATTCAACAGCTTGCAAAAATTGAGAACAACGGGTATTTTTGAGAATTTTACGTTCGCTAAGCTCAAAATATGGTCGAATGACATGACCAGATCAACGGGGAATTACTGCAGTTATAGCTATTAGGGGAATTACTGAAGTTATAGTTAACTGAAACTTCAAACTTGGAGATAATTTTGGTATTCCATTCATTTTAGTAATATTATCTCAACGTTCTTGACACTTTATATCCTTTACAGTTTTTGTGAACATCTAGATTTGCTGTGTCCACCAATGGCAATTGTTTTCCAACAACATTTTTGGAGATATTCATCGGTTCTTTAGCTAAGGAGAAATTATTGAGACCAATATTAATCTGATGATACAATCGCCACACATGTGATCTTTATCTAATCCGTTTTAACCCTTTTCTACAATTGTCATGCTTCATGTCTTGACACGCCTAGCACGACAATTTGGTATTTCTGATGTACTTTCTGTACTGAAAACACTTTCGGATTTACCTCATATATACCCCCGTATAAGCAGTCACGGCAGGTTCAGGGGAAAATAGACTTGTTCTATACCTATACATGTCGTAAGAGCCGCCGACTCATGCCTCCACTCCCTGAAGAACTGAAGGTATTCTGCGATATCTTCTTCTTAAGGTTTGGTTTGGATTTATTTTGTTTAACATCGTATTAACAACTAAGGTCATTTAAGGACATGCCTCCATGTGTGTAATGGGACATCAAAGAAATCAAATATGATCTGTTGACCTCATCTCCTTTGCAATTCTTAAAATCTATATATTTTCTCACTTTTCTACCCTTTCCTTTCAGTGGCGTCTCAATAGGTAATCGTCCTCATAGGACATAAACGGTTTTGAGGACGTGAAACTGCAAGCTACTGTGTTACTCTGTATGGCCACGTGGTATTGACAGATCGAAAAGCCAATATGAGTAAGTCACAGAAGAGGTATTTAGTGCCAATGAAAGTATACAAAACACGTAAAAGGATTGGTTTGGTTTGGTTTGGTTAAGTATTGTTTAACGTCCTATCAACAGCTATGGTCATTTAAGGACGGCCGACCCTGTGTGCGAGATGCATGCGTGAAGTGTTTGCGTGTGTGTTTTGGGAGGCTGCGATATGTTCGTGTTTGTCTCCTTGTGATAGCGCGGAACTGATGCCGACTTCAAAGTGCTACCTCACTGAAACATACTGCCGAAGACACCCAGCAGGACACCCTATCCGGTCATATGATACTGACAACGGGCGAACCAGTCATCCAACTCCTAAACTGCTGAGCGTTTAGCAGGAGTAGAAACTACTATTTTTACTGACTCTGGTATGTCTTGGCCTGAGGACAGAACCCAAAGCCTTCCTCACAGGGGCTAACGCTCAACTAAAGGCCAAAAGTGAGGCATTGTCAAGGGAGACAGCAGGTACAATTCTTATGCCCTACCTGCAGAGACAACATTAAAGGAAATCTCGTCATGTAAACGAAAAGACAAACTTGAAAAGCAAACGTAGCTATTGATTTATTTTTTTGTCTTACCTTATGTTGCCGTCTTGCTTGTCAGAAGCTGTAGGAGAATACCACTTCACAACAGCAAAAGTATTTCCAGGATTAGCGTAATACTCAGATGTCGTCGGTTTGTCCCATTGGATTGTTGGGGGTGTATTCGGTGACGGTGTATTCGGTGGCGGTGAAAACACTACAAGAATATTCTACGATGGAATCTTACTCAATGGGAACAATTTGATTATACAAAATGTCGTTTTTATGATATGTAGTTTGTTTAAGGATTTCCATGTAGGTGGCTATTGAAGTACGTTGAATGAAATATTTGTCAGCTTTGTTGTCTGATAATTTGATCACGCGCATGGATGTTTGTTTTATTTTTGACTCGTAAATATGTACACATTTAAGTTACTAATGTATTTCTAATATAGTTAGAAGAAAGATGTTTGTTAAGAGTCTTCAAACCTAGCAACAAGTTATCTGCGTAGAATGCAGCGTTACATTAAAAGCTTGTTGATTTTTTCTTATTTTAAATTCGTATTACTACATATAGTGAACAATTTTGCTTTCGATACGACATAGATGTTTTATTTTCTATATGTCGATCCTATATAGAATGTATTTATTTGAGAAATAAATATCAATATATTAATTACTAATTTATGATAGCTATATTTCGACACATAGATTTGCCCGAGCTGAATATGGCAGGTGTAATTAACGCAAGGTTCAAGAAGCCCCCTAAAAAGATGCTATACTCACCCAAAATTCCAATATCTTTTAGGTCATATTCAAAGACCCCGATTTAAAACCGGAATTTGTACCTTTGTATATGTGATTTGAATATATTTACATTAGTCACATTATATAACGGTAAACGTAGTCAACAGTAAGGCATTAAGGTTTTTGTCTACGCAACAATAACTTCCAAGGTTTATAGCCTGTCAATCTATTTTGCAACTCAACAGAATGCTCTGAAATGATATGTTCTCTAAAATTCATTTAAACCCAGGTCATACTGAGCTTACAGTCTGTTTTACTAGCTGCGGGGAGGCATACCGGCCTCAACACTGGATGATTGTGACTAGGGGAATGCACAAAAATCAAGGTGAAATGTCTAGGTAATATATGTCACCGGTATATATACGTATAAGCGACAGCCTTGTGACCGTCATGGATACATGAACGTTATATAAACTGTATATTCGTATCATTTAATATTGTTATAAACAGGTTTTTTTTCAAGTTTCAATGTTTCTACATTATATAATATTATAGATTTCTTAGCAGTCTTTGTTTTCACATTTATAATCTGTTAAAATATGTCACCAGGGATTTTTACTGTGATTTCAGTGTTAATGAAAAGTAATTTTTACACAACCAATACAATGTGCTATGTGACGTTTCGATGACTAGTACGATATGTACACTGTCACCTTCATCAGACAAATGACCAGGAAAGCCATTTGGATACGCCGCAGTGGGCCAGTTCTAAATCGAGACGAGGGGGATCAAAGACTCTCTTGCACATCTATGACCAAGTATTAAACAAAGCGAAGCTGAATCGAGTCATTTCGGTACATATATAACAACTATTGTACAAAAGATTACATCGTAGCCGAATTCGACATTGATTTTGTGGACAACTCATACACATTTTACACCTTATAACATATCCCACTAGTCATCGAAACGTCGCATAGACAATTTTCTTGATTATGTAAAATGAACTTTTCATAATCCATACCTACCAACCTGAAGAAAATGTTTAGAAATATGGAAAAAAGACATGTGATTTGAGTGGTTTTGCATGGCGACATATATCTAGTTTGAGGTCGGTTTGCCTCTCCACAGCTGGTGCAAGGGAAATTAAGCTACGCTAAACCTAGGCTTGTAAATTAACTTTTGACAATACGTCATTTTGTAGCATTTAGTTCGTTTGTAATAGAGATTGACTTGGTATATGTCTGGTGAACTACTTTTATGAAGATATCAGCCTTATTGCATTATTATTGACTACGTAAACATGGCCATGTACTATTCTTATAGCTAGTGTACAAGTTTATTACACTCTATTTACTAATATATATTCTGATTTTTATTTGGGGTATTTTAATGACACATCATGGGGTTAACCATACCATCTTTCAGTGGGCTTGTTGAACTATAGTATGAGGTAAAAGTGCATTTACATTTTGGACAGAATAGATCACAAAATATTCCAGCAACGCCGCCAATTATTAATCCAACTGCAGCACCGATTGGTCCAACCGCCACAGTCCCAATCACTGCTCCTGTAGAACCACCTACCGCTGTCCATTGCCTTTTACTGCGTTTAGGGGCTATACCTGAAAAGTTTAAAGTAAAAGTATACTAAGATGTCGTTTTTGTTCTGATGACATTGTTGCATGGTTGACGACATACCCTATTACCAACCTAAAAAATACTCAGAGAAATCAACCATAATGTGACGACATTATCAACAGGCATTGTGTATTTATGGAGTTAAAACGTTCGAGGGACATGAATGCCCCATGGACCTATGGCTGACCAATACATAGTTACAGTAACCTTGATTTTGACCTTGGAACTCTGGAATACCATCAAACTTGCCATTTCTATGAATCAAATAAAACCTTTTAGGAAATTTAAAGCGTACATTTCTTAATGTTACGGTTTATAACCGAAGTCCCAATTTTAAGAATAATGAATTCTAGTGTCAGATAAAAGAATATTAATTAATAGTTCAGTTTAATATAGTAACATGTAAAATACTGTATGAATATGAAATGTGATCATTTTACTTCTTCAGTTCTGAAGTGCAATACAGCCATGCCGCTCTGCAAAGTGCTGAACAATCTACTCAACCTTCACAACATTGAGTCAGACTCTTTCTGAAATACACTTAATCAGAATAAACATTGACAGTGTAGCTTTGTCAAATGTAAAAGATGTAAAAGAAAGTATTGTGGCTAGGGCAAGTTTAAAAAAAAAAAAAGTATTGTACTCAGTATAATTATTTAAACAAACAGGGGAGGTTTAAATTCAATTCTTGCCTGTGTCTAGACAATCTTACTCTATGCTAATAGCATACTTTAACCCTTATTACAGAGGTCTTAAGTGAGCTACGCGCACCTCGTACGGGGTTGAGTAAACATGTGCTTGTTATTGCTTATATATGAGTGATTTTCTTTACCTGCTTGGTCGTTAATCCAGCTACCATGGACGCACTTCACAATATATGATTGTCTCTGTCCAGTCACATCTGTAACCTGGCAATGTTCCCCATGTAGGACATGTCCGGAATCAAGGACAGGACATTGAAAAACAACGACAGGAATGTCATCCACATGGCACGCGGAAGCATTAGACTCCCTCGTCTGAAAGATGTCAATGAAAAATAAAGAAAAAACAACAGTATTTACCTTAAATAAAAGAACTATGTGCCTCTGCAGGTTCGGAGGAAATTAGGCTGCTATATCTTAGTGAATGTCATAAGGGGCGACTTACCGCGGGACCCCTGCCAGATCAGGTCTTCTGGTAACGGAAACGGAAATTTTGGTGGTGAACAAGAATATACACTTTAGTCCTTGTGTTCAAAAACATAAGAAAAACGTGTTTTCAAGAAAAATTGCATTGATTGATAAGTAAAAAAATTTCACAAATTAAATATTACCATGAAACTAATATCTATACTAAGTTGCATGCTGGTCCCAAGATACTTTTTTTATGTACAATCAGCGAATACACATTGGAAATAGGCAGAACAATTAATAAAACAATTTAACTGGGTTAACTTTAACGATTATAACAGATACTTCTCATGATGCTAGGATACTTAAAATTACCAGCAAATCAATTTTCATACATTAAAGCAATCATTTTACTGTAGTTGTGGTGGCAAATACCATTTTTAATTGTAAGTTAATTTGATAAGTAAGAAAACAAATCAGGATCTGACTTCAGCCACCGGTGCTGAGCACATATTATATATATAATATGCAATATAACAGTAGCTATAACTATCTTATTATATTTGTGATTTACCCTGCCCCTTCTGGTACCCCAAAACGCAACTTTCGATCAAACTTTTGCCTTCGTTTTTGAGCACGTAATAAAATAGGACATCTTTTAACGAATTTAGGAGGTGAAAATCGGGATATACCGGGGCCCGAAAAGGGCCTTATACATACTCATTCTCTAAGAAGCCAACATTGATATGATGCCCTTCTTACAACACGAGGGATCTATATCTTTTCCACTCTCTCTTATCTGCCATGTCTATGTGACCGTTAGACACTGTTTTTGGCCGTGTTGAAGCACGCGTTGGGCCGCGGTGGCCAAGTGGTTAAGGCGTCCGCCATTCTGCTACTACTAGCCACTAGGTCGCGGGTTCATGGCCTACGTTGGGCAGTCGCCAGGTACTTGGTCGGTGGTTTTTCTCTGGGAACTTCGGCTTTCCTACACCATCAAAACATGGCACGTGCTTAGATTACCATAACTGTTAATAGGACGTAAAACACAAACAAACCAAAGAAGTTGAAGCACACGTGTAGTCTTAATATGGGATGAATCCAGAGTACCCAGAGAAAGCCCACATGGTTAGAAGACACAATACCCTTTCACGTCCGATCGAACCCCGGTCGTACTAGTGAAAAGGGCGAGTGTTTTATCCACTTCGCCACTCGACCACCAAAACAAATCAGTGCATTCAATCATAAAGTATTTTAATGTAAATGGTTGACATGCATGGCACATCGATGTGATTAAGAAATCGAAACAAAAACAAAAACATCAAAATTATTTGGTCCGGCATTCATGGTTTTATCCTTGACAAACGCACATGGTCTACCAAATGCGGACTTGGACTAGACGCCCATACGACCCTGCAGGTGAGGGATCGGGAAAAGAATACACCTACTGTTACCCACTGCATGTATCATAGGAGGCGACTAATGCAGGGAAACCCCTGCAGAATTGGGGATTTGCTTAGGCCCTCTATTTGGGGGCACAAAAGCGACCATAATATATCTGCTGAGCCCATTGCAATATTTAGGATCTTTATCTTTCAACCTACTTCTAACTACCTTTAATTTCCTAACGCCTTACCTTTAGTTTGATTGTTGAGCATTCGTCCAGGTGAGGAAGGCAATGGGTTCTGTCCCCAGGCCGGGACATACCAAAGTCTTTAAAATGGTAGTGGTTATTCCTTGCTTAACATTCAGCATTTAGGGGAATGGAAACAACTGGTTCACCCGTTGTCAGTATAATGTGACCGGGCGGAATGCTGTGCTGGGTGCCTTCGGCATAGTATTTCAGTGAGATAGCACTATAAAGTCGGCATCAAATCCGCGCTGTCACAAGAGGGCAAGCACTCCAACATACCCTGCCTCCTGCATACACACACGCAAGCATGCATACACTACACACATGGAGGCACGTTCTTAAATGTTCTTATCTGTTAATAGGATGTTAAACAATATTAATCCTAAAACTAGTCGCTCATAATCAGATTCGTATATGTGATACATATTTGACAATATGAAATCGATTAACTACAATAAATATAAGCATTATAACGTGAAAAGCGTAAACATGCAAATGATAACAATTACTTACCTTTCTATATGACGTATCCGTTGACTTGCCATACGGAAGTAAAACAGCAAAGAATGCAAGCGTAAACAGCATCATAGTGTCAACCTGAGGACAGCAATATAGCAAGAAAATAAAGCATTCATATCACAAAATTAAGAATAAAAAACATGGGTAGTACAACTGAGCTATTCATTTTCCTCACTCATGAAAGTTAATGTAATGAATCGGATACCTATCACAAAATGATAACATTTCCTTATTGAGTTATTCATTATCAGGAAAGTCAGCGGGTCGTAGCATAAAACCCTTATGCACATACATTGACGCTGACTGCACAAGACATTTGTTAAAGTAAGTTTCTAGAGACGCATTGCTTTAATCATGTAAGATCGAGCCTGTAAATCACAGGCTCAAAGTTGTCACATCAAGCAATCATGAAGTGGGTTACAGCATGCCGAGTATTTTACAGCTTTCCGGAACATATCAGCAAAGTTATAACAAGACAATGTCTTGATATGATATATATATAAACCTTTGCCACTTCAAGCGGCAGATATGAAGTTGTTTACTAGGTAACCCTTTTCAGTTAAATGTCCATACCTACCTGTGCAAGTAACAAAACTTTTGTGATAAACTCTGCTGATGTCTGTTAAAAATGAGCGTTATCAGTATACAACGCAACATTACATGCCCATTAATCCATCAGTAATCGACACAAGAGTAGTTAAATTAATGTTTTTAGTCCTAAATAGATTTCGTGAACCATGCATCCTAACATTCAAGTGAAAATAAACCTATTAATGTAACAGTTTCTTAAAGACGTGATTGGTTTGTTGAATTCAGCGTTAACAGCCAAAGTCATCAGCAGGCGTGACTCCATGTCGATAATGTATGCGCGTGTACTGGGAGCAATTTGCTGGTGAATTGAAAAGATTGACAGAGTTAATTATGAACACTTGATAACTTCAGGGGAACCGGTAAGTCTGACTTATACACGAACAATGTAACAGCATTGTTTTCAACTGCCCATGCCTGACGTCGATCTGTATATCCAGGGCTGGGGTTTCCCGGAAAACAAGTTACTTAGAATTTCTATCTTTATTCCGGTTAATAAGTGAATAGTAAAGGACTTTGATATCTTTGGGGGTTAGGCTTATAAGGCTAACAGTCATATTAACAAGTACGGTCATTTTAAGACATGCTTCCATATGTGTAAATATGTGTGGAAATAGATAACTGTGTAAAATGTCATGCCGAATGCATAGTACTCCGCCTTGTCATATTGACATGCTCACATGTTAACCAGTTATTTTGCCTACTCTGAATTCTGATTGTCTGGCAGGTTATATTTAACACATGCCTTCCCGAACGGACGAATGTTCTGATATACAGCCAAAAAGGATGTGGTTTATAGTGATGCTAAAAAATAAAAACAAATGTAACGAAAGAATAGGAGAAGATAGGATTCCACCTGTCGCAATTTGTTGTCGTATTTCCCGCTATTGTGCTATCCATTAATTTAATAGGAAAACACCTGGTATAAAAAGAATTGTTAGCTTGTTAGTGTATAAGTATTTATCAAGAACAACTTACGGGTATAAACGCACAAAACTCTCTAAGCACAACAAGATGGCAATCCATGGGTGTTGCAAATGATTTGAGCATCATATCAAAATTCTTCGAAAGAATCACAACGAAGTATGTGTTTATTACCTGGTAACAGTATAATGTACCCGGGTAGAATACGGGGCCTTCGGCATGTTATTTTTGTGAGTTAACACTCTAAAATCGGCATCAGATGGGCACTATCGCTAGAAGGCAAATACACCAACATAACCTATCTCTAGCACACATTCATTCGATCACACTTACATTCACCTGCATCAGCTAAAATACGTTGTTAATTTCAAACAAAATGAAACCAAACATTACATACCAGCATCATCACAGCCCTTATTGTTACACATATTGCAGAGATATAAGGTTGTTTGATTGAACTTTTATGTTATAGAATCTTAAATGAATATTTTAATAGATATTTGACTGCAACGAAACAGTCCCTGGTGCCGCTCATTTCTAATGACGTCTAAATATCAATGCAAAACGACGAGTGCTTACACCTACTGTGCTTAAGCACTGAATCGGCCAACTGATAATCAGGAACATTACATTAAAAAATCAAAATGAACAAACGAGCAAGGAAAACTAAAATAAAGAATGTTTATCATATTAAAAAGGCAATAGCCAGAAGATTAATATCCGCCCGATCACAAGGAGATGGATACACCAACATTCCCTGCCTCCGGCACACATATACACATGCACGCATGCACAACACATAAAGGCACGTCCTTAACTGACCTTCGTTATTGAAAGGACGTAAAACCCCATTTAACCAAACAACCAATAACTATGAGTGAAGTGAAGGTAATAACAAGGTCAATTTGAAAGACGTTTATAGAACATTGGTAACCAGAGGGCTAAGGCTATAATGACAATGTGTATATACATTATAGTGTGTGTGTGCTGTAAATACACTAATGAGACTTTTTTCGAAAGTGTCAAATGTGGTGGTGCAGGAATAAAATATCGGACGAGAAAAGTGAAGCATACAGTTAAACGAGGCTGTAATAAATTCATGGATTGTGTTACAAACGATGAACGATTCCAGAATGACTCTTGCAGCAAAATTTGTGTTTACGGTGGATCGTTATTCTCGGCAAGATGTAGTTGTGTCGCTGGCCGGAAGGGACGTTGCTGTAGTGACCGTGAGTAAAACAATGATAACATTTTAACATATTTTGTTTATCAGCCGGCAACAGTAAAGGTTTGTCTGTTTTGCTTATTGTATTGTGAAATAATGCATTTTTCAGCTGACAACAAAGTGGGAAAAGACAAAAACAATAACATCAAAAATAAAATATTTATAAGAAATGGAATAAAGCAGAATTTATAAGAAACAGTTTATCTGTATTACAGCAATGAAATTTCAGTCGTACAAACAAACGATTTTATAGACATGGTACATGTGTTTTCTATCACAATCCAAGCATTTATCTTGCATCGTCATAAAGTGATACATTGTTTTAACTTACTGATTTAATGTTTTATAGATAAACGTCTAATCAACAGCTAAGGTCATTTAAGGACGTGCCTCAACGCGTGTAAGGTGTGCATTTATTATACCAATACCGTGTTATGCAGTGTCATAAAGCCATCAAATAAATTATGTTTATGTAACGTGTGCAATATCACTCCGGAAATGACGTCACAATTGAATAGGAACAATCAATGTGACGTCACGTCATTGTGAAGCGGACTGAATTTTTATCGTTTCAGAGGCGGCCAAGTGCATAATATTCGTTTCAGATCACAATTATACAGTTTACTTTGTATTATATGACAAAAAGAATCTGTCATTCGTTTCCCTTCATATAAGATTTATGATACTCTTTTTTATGTTTCATATTTTCTCGCCAGAGTTTCGCAAGCATGAGAAATCCAAAACTTGTATCATGAATCTTATATGAAGGGAAATGTATGACAGATCCTCTATGTATATGTATTTGTACTTGAGGCAGGATATGTTGGTATTATTGCCTCCTTGCGATAGCGTGGATCTAATGCCGACTTTATAGTACTACTTCACTGAAATAGCATGGCAAAGTCACCAGCACAGTAATTCGGCCGATCACATTATATCGACAACGGATGGAACAGTTGTTGCCATTACCCTAAATGCTGATCATTAAGCAAGAAAATAGCAACTAATATGTAAAGGACTGTTGTTATGTCCGGGCCTGGGCACAAAACCGATTGCCTTCCTGACCCAAGTGAACGTTCAACCTATAAGACAAAGTAATGTGTTGCTTAGGCAAGAAGTAGGAATCAATTGGTAGTTAGAAGTAGAATGTAATTTAGAAAAAGCAACAAAGGTATTTCAGAATTTGGTATGTAAACAGAACTTACGATTCTTATTAGACTTCTTAATCCTGCTTTTGCGTTCAAGTCTATTATAAAGTATATTCCAATATGTCTGTTCATTACCAAAAGGCATATCAACATATTAGAGACTTGAAACAAATTTATTTTTACGGATATATGAAAGTTTACTATAGATATACAATGTACATCTTTATGAAGGCGTGACCTGTGGATTTCCAGACAGCATAACCAATGGTGTGGTCGACGGAAACGATTTTACTTATGGGAAATGTGTGACATACTCCTGCAATAGTCTCTATAATATAACAGGAGGCCTAAGAGTTAGATCGTGTACTGGAAGTGGGTTGTGGACAGGGTCTGCACCACATTGTATTTGTAAGTACCAACATTTATTACAAAAAAATCCAAAAGTATTAACCTATGGCTTCTTTTGTAGGTTCATCATGCATTTCCTTCTGTTTTTATATATGCTCTACTCTAAATTCTGTTATCCCGAATTTCACAGAGTTAATCGTGTAGTATTTGTTTTCTTACATTTTTTGGTTGGCAGGTAAATAGAAAATATAACGTCTTAAAAAGATACACCTACAGGTGTATTCTTTAAGAGACAGTATGTGGCTTTATTTTTAAAAACACATCATGGACTCTGGATAATAATAGTGAAGATCTTTTATAACTATGGGCATTGTATACTATTCCCAATCAATTTTGTTGTACGATAACAATATTTTACCTCCTTGGATATTAGCCAAAACTGATTGACAATTATCAATTCTACCAGAAAAGTAATAAATATCTTTATTAAAATATTCTAAAATCGAATGATAAAATACGACGCAAGCTTAGATTTTATAAAATGTTTGCATTTAAGGTTCTTTGCAGAGACGTTATTTACATACCACCCTTTATCTATCCATTTATGTGCACATTGATATGATTGTATTCTTGCCTGATGTATAATGGTGATTTTAAGCCTTTTTTGTTTAACAATTATAACTAATACAATTGTACTATTATCCATATGCTATAAATCGCTTTAGAGTTATTTTACAAATTATATAGGGCGCTATATAAATGTCGTATATTTTTTATTATTATTATTGCTTCGCACTTGTGATTATACGCAATAAATGTAAAATTGAAAACATTTAAGTTTGGAGGTTTACATATTTTAAGATGTCCATACTTGCTTAAGCAACCCATGTCAAAATGGTGGAACATGTGTCGATGGGCTCAACAGCTACAGTTGCCAATATCAGCCTGGATGGAGTGGGGTACATTGTGAAAAAGGTGAAGTTTGTTTTGCAATGAATTAGGGTTTGATATGCATTTAACTAAGAACGTTTGATAATGGTACCCGCTGCTGATATGTGCAGTGAAGGGTCAAATTCAACAGCTATTACACTTAAAGATACGATACCCAAACGGTCACACTATTCTTATAATAAACCTAAATAGAAAAGCCTATTATTACATCATTGAAAATTAGCGTTAGTAGAACAAGTATAATATTAAAATATGTACAGGTTTGTTTATCGTTGTTGTATTGTTTAGTATTGTTTAACGTCCTATCAACAGCTATGGTCATTTAAGGACGGCCTCCCCTGTGTGCAAGATGTATGCGTGTAGTGTATGCGTGTGTGTTTTGGGAGGCTTCGTGTTTGTCTCCTTGTGATAGCGCGGAACTAATGCCAGATTTATAGTGCTATCTCACTGAAACATACTGCAGAAGACACCCATCAGGACACTCCATCCGGTCACATTATACTGACAGTCGTCCCAATCCTAAATTGCTTAGCGTTAAGCAGGAGTTGAAAAATGAAGTATTGTAATGTCTCCTTAGGGATCAAGGGTAGCACCCTTCTATTATGTGGGACAATATAAGATTTCAATCCCATTCTTTGTATGTAGGACATCAACTCGACGTAATAAATTTGTTTGATCAGTTTTTTAGCTGATTGGCGCCTCGACACAAAAAGAAGCTAAATCATATGACGTTGGTGTCCATTGCTGATTTATTCAATCAAGGACCACTTTTGATTTATAGCTATCGCTTTACACTGAACACGACTTTATCATCACATGATTGCAACACACCTAGCTGGTATATATGTTTTGTTTTAGTCGCTGTTTAACGTCTACACTTATGTGAGACGGTTGCCGAGGAAGACTAAGCTAAAACACAAAAAATAGATAGACACGGAGCGAAAAGATTGATGTCCAAGCTTAAGCAATTTGGACAGCAGATCAGCTTTTTTCTACGGCGGCCACGTATTAGTCCTACATCTGCATCTACGTGTTTTATAAAATGTTTTCATAACTCTTAGTAGTCATTACACACCCGCCTTTTCACAGTGAAGGCTTCTAAATTGCTGCTTATATATTGATGAAATCTTCGCCCTGATAATAACAACCTTGTAGAAAAATATATTACCACACATTTAACATCTTGTAATTGTGATAAATGCGTAGACGCCCGTATCCGGATGCTTGACCTATAAAGTTCGTATTAATCTCGTCACAGATATTTCGGAAGTGTTTCTGAACTGTTTTTATTAGTCATGAAATTAAAACAACTTTATCGAATACCCCTGCTGGTATGGGGAAAGAACAGAACTGTTGTGTATCACTGGAAGATATCGTAAGAAGCGACTGAAAACATTATCATTCAAAATATTTCCCTTTGTATTAATTTGGAAACCTTGTCATGTTGGAATTAATGGAAAAGTGCAAATCGATAGGGCTGCTAGGCCAGCTCTTTACCTATAACCGACAGATAATAAACGACCTTATTCTAATTTCAAACCTTCCCTGGTGATTTTTTTAAAGAAATTATATACACAAATGATCTGAAGAATAAACAACAAGCTATTTGCAATTCAATATAACGTAGGTTCATGTGCAACTAGTAGAACAGGCCGCACAAAGGAAGTTGTCCCATCGCGACTGCACAAAAGCCATACCTACATCACACATAGTTACAGCTAATGCAAAGCATACCACCGACGTAATTGTTGCGCATGCGACAAAGCATTTTCAGTCAAACGTAGTAAGATTAAATGCGCCGATTTCAAACAAATCCGTGACAGATTTTATAATTTACCGTCTATTAAAAGTTTATTTGATACAGTTCCTACTTTTTGGCGGTGTCTTCTTGGCCCTCGGCGTCATATGACTTTGGTGTTTGCGAGGTCGATAAATCCAATACTATCAAATAAAACAATAGGTATATTGTCATACAACCATATATGGCAAGGCATGGGAACATATATACACACTTATGATAGTCTCGGGGTACCGTTGCTGCCCCTTCATACTTTAAATACTCTTGGACAAAGCACGGAAATAACATTACTTTATGATAAATATGGAATGTAGTACGGGCGTTAACTCTGTTATCGTTCCTCCGAACGAAATGATAACACGGCTAAATGCAGCTAATTTGCCGCATATATCAGCAATTTGAGTACGAAAAAAACGGCTTCATAACTTTTGCTGAAACCTTCCATGTTTGTAGAACTCAGTGCGATCTACCTCCTTGTTATATCTGGGGAAAATTTAGTTATGGAAATATTTGGTGCCAAACAGGCCAAAATCTGCATTTTGACCATTAGTTTCTATAAACTTCTAACTGGAGAATTAACGCTTAAAACTGACTGAAACCCCAAACATAAGTAGTCCAAGTTATTTTGAAGAAAACGGTAGATTTGTTTTTTTGATATCTTTCACAGAACGGTCGAAATTGGGTTTTGAAAATTGGGTGTATTTCTGGGGTTTCGTGGAATTTTCCAGAAGATCCGATTTCCCCGTAGTCAAGCACCAATTTGGGTATCCCCTCTAGGCTAGAATTGAGATAAGAGCTTGTTGTGCATGCGTTGAATACGAATAGCCGCTTATCCGGTTCAACTTGTAGCGGTGAGTTGGATTGAAATTTTACTAGTGCCAGTAATTTTTACTATTTTACGATATCAGATGCGATGTTCTAGTTTATGGCTATTTTGCTACGATCAATGTTTGCTGCTGATCACAATAATGCATGGAAGCTATGACCCAGCGTTTAAAATCTCTAGCAAAATCCCGTAGGCCTAAGCGAAACAGTTCTTGTTTTTTCAATATTTACTTTCGTTATTTTTTTTTATTTTTGTTTTTGTTACTATGTTTAATAAAATTAAGATTTCGGTGTGTGAAGCCTGTTTATGTGTTTGTGGTAATCTCTCATCTGTGATACTTTGTTTACGTCTAAAAATAGCAACGGTAATCCGCAGCTTGAGAAGACATCACTACACGCGCGATTAGCATTGGCCTAATGATCATGAGCATTACAAAAGACTGTAAATGAGTCATTATCGGAAATTGTCACATTTTTTGAAGAGGAAAACTCAAAACAAAAGGGTTGTTTCTGCCTTTTTTTCATTTACAGTATAAACACATCAAATTAATTTTAAAGAAACATTGTATATGGCGTGTCAAACGTTGCAATAATTTTATATTATGTTCGAAATTTAATTTTTGTATTCAATAATTGTAAATATATGTGTAATAATTTATATTTGTATTCAAAAATTGTAAATATATGTGCAATATTCTTTATTTGTAATCAATAATTGTAAATATATGTGCAATAATAAAAATATATATTTTACGCAATAAAACATATATTTCTATTTGTTGTCTTTCCAGCAGTGTCTCCTCTGACATCCTTCCTCATATGACTGTCACACTAACTAGCTGAGATTCTCTAGTGTAGAGTATGTCATTAGTTGTGATGGTCAGTCTCCACAGTTTTTGTGTCATTCAATCCGCCCCCCGAATATTTTCCCTGTATTTCATATCTACTTTATTTCTATTTGTTCTCTTTCCGGCGGCGTCTCCCCTGACTTCCTTCCTCATATGACTGTCACACTATATAGCTGATATTCTCCTGTGTAGAGTATATCATTAGTTGTGATGGCAAGTCTCCACAGTTTTTGTTTCATCCCCCCCCCTGAATATTTTCTCTGTATTTCATATCTACTTTATTTCTATTTGCTCTCTTTCCGGCGGTCTCTCCCCTGACATCTTTCCTCGTATGTCTGATGTAGAGAATAGTAGTGATGTTTAGTCTCCACAGTTTCTTTTTTATTTGTAAGTGAGTAACAGTTATGGATTTTAATGGGTAACATTTAACGGAACACAGGAAATGATGCTATATGTGCATAGAAACCCTTGTTTAACTACAGTTTTCTGTCAAAATTCACAGTTAGTCTTTTGCCTCACACTCAGTGGCGTAGCATACATCTATGCTTGTATGCTCAAGCATACACTAAAATTTTCAACATTTATACATATTGAATCAATTATTTTTTTTATTGATTAATATTCTCTTTAGATTTCTAAATCCTGCTTTTGCGTTCACGTTTATTTTTAAGTAATTTTATGTTTTGTTGAGCTATATCATATGCTTTACTATTTCACCAGAACTATAAATAGGACTATAAATGGAACTTAATGTTGGAATATTTGATACGAGGAGTGGTCAAAACAATTCGGGGGTGATCTTCAGTGTCTTCAACTAAGAGGACACGAAAAACAAAATTGACCTGCTGCCCCTTTCAAGACATTTGATATCTATTTTGTTTCGTATCTTTCCTGACTACTTTTTCTTCTCTTCTCTATGATGTAGCTACCTACATTCGAAGGTGGAACCCACATATGATCAGGCTGGTTTAAAACCAAGAAGTGTCACTAAAATATCACACCCTGGAAACGATTAAATGATTCAACCAGTCAACGTGTAGTGACAACGGGGTAAACAAATGTGTCGAATTTACGCGATGACCATTGAATATGGAGTCACAAAAGCAACGGTAGATTGGAGATAAAAACAAAAATGTCAATCTATCCATCCTACTCATCCAATCTTCTTCATAATAACAAACAATTTCATTCATTTCTCAGAAAACGCAATCCCAACGTTCAATGCCCTTTGGCTTTTGGTCTTCGGATGCCTTTAAAAAAAAATATCTGTAAGAAAAGTTGACCGACGGGAGACGATGACTAGCATCAGATCACATACAATCTCAAACGGTTGTGTATTAAGGACATTCAGCCATTGTTAGTTTAGTGTGAAAGTATTGGTTGTCATATGATGCCGTGTCCTTTGTTTGACATTAGAGTAAAATGACACTATAAAGTGTATTTATTGGATACCTCCTTCATATAAACGCAGCTCGATAATTTGATAATTGCAAGATAAGTTAGCTCAACGGCACTGCTTTATAATTTATATTAAACTAACAATGTTTGGTTGAGTTAAGCTTTATTTTGTTTAACGTCCTATTAGCAGTTAAGGGCATATAAGTTGTAAAACACAGAGCTCATGATATAACCATTGTGTGGTAAAATGTATTTGAACAGTTTACGTTTTCAAAAAATGAACTGTTATGAAAACTCTATAAATTAAAGAATTCAAACACTTAACATTAAAGCATCTATACCCCTCGTAATAAGTATTCTAATGAATGTACCAGAGTATTTAGAAGTTTAAAATACTAATAAGTAGAATGTGTTTTTTTTAAAATAAATATAATACAAAATCTTAGTACTCACATGCCTCGAGCACAAATGGAACGTTTAAACAGTGCTATTTGTTATTAGTAATAGATATTTTATAGTAAGGTAACTTTGATCAAAGAAATACTATATAAAGAACGATGTTATTAGAAACCCACCAAGCATTTCCTTAACACAATCACGTGAACATTTTTAGACTTGTTTTCACACATGTTCGCTTTCATAAAAGTGATTTGTCATGGAACAAGGATGATCAATTGTTAAAGTTTCATTCAAGATGATATATGAATGCTCTAGTCAATACAACGTTTTAATTAAAACCGTCAAAATGATCTCGCATATAAATACATAACATTTATCGTATATGTAAATCAGCATTCAATTGCCTTCAAACAATATCTTCACGCCACTTATTTCCGATTATATGAATGCCGGTGCTGGTTTTAGAAGCAGGTTATCTTTATTCCATGCCCTACAAAACCCTATATACCGTGCATCATGCATTAAAAAACCTACCTGCTATAGTCTGCATTCACAAGGGAACACACACGATTAACATGTTGTCTGCAGGAGACGCTTCACTAAGATTTGTGCGGCCGTTTGCTAGGCAATGTCCGTAGTGGATATACATGTACATACATGCACTGCTGCGTGCATACGATTGATTAGTGAACGAGATAAGCTATCCACGTGAGGATCGGAAAGAGTATACAGGCAAGGTCTCTAAGGGTTCCGGGAAGGGGACGCATTCTTAAAGATGATTCATAGGTAGTTCGATGTACACAGACACATTGAAAAGTGTTTGTTTAGGGTTTTGCGAAAATAGTCGAATCAAATGTTTTTTCTCGAAGAAACATTACAGTATATCATGACTATAACGATTTCAAAGTTTCAAGGAAATCGGTCGAAAAAAGGTAGGAGGTAATCTTCGGACAAAAATCAAATACTGAAATGAACAAAGGGCAATAACTTTTGCAAAAATAGTCGAATCCTTTTTGGGAAAACATAACTTCATATCTTGATTATAATGTATACCAAGTTTCAAAGAGATCAGTCGAAAATTGTCGGAGGGGAATGCCGGACAAACAAAAGTTTACGCCGGCCAGACGGACGACGCCATACCATAATACTCCCCTCAAATTTGAAGGGCGTACAATTGATAAAAATGGTATCAGCGGACAGTTTCTTTTGATCCTTGCTGCAGATCTGTATTATCAGGGTGGGAACAGATGACTGTGATGGCATATGCATGACATTTTGAAATCTTGGATGTTATGTCACAATTTATTATTTAAGAATTATTGTATGTTGCTAAGCTGAAGTTTGGATAGGATTTCTGTTGTTCATTGTGATACCAGAGTGAGTATTTATGATGTCATAGACGTCATGGTAACTATGACGTTATATAAATAACAAGGTCAAATGTGATAGTACATATCACATGTATGTTGCACTTAATTACATGCACAGAGACTCAAAGTACCATATTCAACACAAAATACAACTTCATTGAAGAAAGCGTGGAATTATGGGACTTTTCAATTTCAAATTTACTTCCCGTTGTTACTTATTTAAGAGGAAAATTGATCAAAATATACCTTTCATGGAAAACACGGTAACCTGATATGTCGTTTTGTTCATCGTACCATTTTCTAGACATTTATGTGTTTGTTTTTTATTAAACTTAAAAAATTAAAAATCTTTCCATATCATGTAACAGACCACAGTATCCCGGCCTGGTAATGGATGTTTATACAATGTATAAATTTGTATAAAAAAAAATAAAAAAAAAAAAAAAATATATAACTAAAATTGGTATTTGTCATTTTGAAAAGAAAAGTGTAAGGCCTCATATTTTTCATAATATAAAATTTGTATTTGGTTCTAGATTTCAATTTGGTCAGTCTGTAATCTACTCCAACACAACCTCCAACACATGCGAAGTTTGCGAAAAATAATAATGTTGAACGTATGCTGAATTGTGACTGAGTATTTTGGTTAGCATGAAAGTGATGTTTAATTTAAGACATGTTTTAGGAGAAACATTCCTCTCTGTCAATTTTTAGGCTAAAAATAACAATTTTCTGCATTTTTTAAAATTTATTATTCATTTTTGATGTGTTATCCATAGTTTTCACAATTTAGGTCTTAAATACGAGAACACCTTTTTACAATGTTCACTTCTGTATTACAATTGCAATTGTGATGTACTCGTTTATAAATTATTTTTATATATATATATCATCCTCGATATCCAGGGGTTACGCTCACTTTCGCTCTCTACACATATGCTATACTGATATGGATCACAACACACACCTGTGGCAAAACTAAGGCTTAGCCTAACGAGCCAATGTGGACAGAGACCCCGAACTCGCGCTTATACTTATGATATAAGTATGTAACAGGAAAGAGAATAATATGCTTCCACCGGGAATCGAACCCTCGAACCCCAGTCGGACGCTCTACAACTGAGCTAAAGGAGAAATTCTCTCTACCTCGAAGCTAGAAGGCAACATTAATCACATGTACAATTTATATCTGCCACAAGTATAATGACTATATTGCAATAATGGATATTGATTTATAATTGCATCCAGTATTGGGTCAGGATACGGATATTTGTGGCGGACGTCCCTCGGTATACCCATTTTTAAATGAAATATGTTTAACCAATAGTCCTTGGGTGGTCAGGTGGCGCAGTGGATAACACAATCGCCTTTCACCAAGGTGGCTGGAGTTCGAATCCTTGATTCCTTGATTTTCTGAGCCGACAAGAGGGTTAATATAATTTGAATAACTTGTGTCATATTTGTTGTAAAAAATAATAAAGTTTACCGCTGTAATATGTTGTCCTTGGGTGATAATACTTTGCCAGTATCATTTTGTGATAAACATCTAACATGCTACATTTATGGGTTTTTAGCTCACCTGCCCGAAGGGCAAATGAGCTTATGCCATGGTGCGGCGTCCGTCCGGCCTCACTTTTTTTTACTTTAAACAACTTCTTCTCAGTAACCAAAAGGCCTAGGATGATTATATTTGGCCAGTTACATGCTGGGATGAAGGACTACCAAGTATGTTCAAATGAATCACTTTCACCCATTTACAAGATCACAAGGGTCAAATATTGTTAAATCTTTTAACAATTTCTGAATAATGTCAAGGCCCAGGGTAATGATATTTTGCCAGAAGCATGCTGGTATGAAAGGCTATAAAGTCTGTTCAACTTGTGTCCTTGTTTGACTTTCAAGGTCACATGTGTCACATGTTTAAATCTTTTAATATTTTTTTTGAATCAAACACTGGTATTTTGCCTGTAGCTTTATTTTAGTCCACTTTTAAAATAACAAGTGTAGATTATACCAGGTGAGCGATTCAGGCCCATTGGGCCTCTTGTTTTAAAATAAGTGATATAAGAGACCAGCGATCAACATGCAACTAGTTTGTATAAGTCTTTTTCCACTGTATGGTTAAAAGACATGGGTCCCACCATGTTAAACTTCAGTATTTTCAGAAATTGTATTGGTCAAATAGAAAGTCTATGGGTACAGGACCCAGGACTCGCATGAAGATTTATTACTGAGTGACTTATATTAAGACTGCAGGGGTCAAATATGTGTTACAGTCAAATTCTTTAGAAAAATTGAAAAGCCTGGAGTTATGATATTTGACCATTAGCACGAATAACTTCGATTCACTTTCAATGTCACAGGGATCCAGTGTGTTTAAATGTTTGAACAACTTCTTAATAGCCAAATTTCAATAAATTTGACCTGGTTCCTCTTGAAGATCATAGATGCGACATGAATAGTAGGTGAGCTATACAGGCCCAGTGTGTCTCTTATTTTTATCCTCTGCTTTCACCGAAACGGGGGATATTAATTTGGGTTTGATCGTCCGTCTGTCAATCTGTCTGTCTGTCACGCTTCGTTTCCGTGCAATAACTGCAACAAATGTCAACCGATTTACTTGTAACGTGTTAACACGGTTAAATGCCTTAAGGGCTCGGCAATGTACAATGACTTTTTTCAGCGGACTTTATTTGGCGGAGTTATGGCCCATTGAATAACGAAAAACGTCATTATCTGCAGTTTCCGTGCAATAACTGCAACAATTGTTAACTGATTTTCTTCAAACTTGGTTACAGAGCTACATGCCTTAAGGGCTCGGCCAAGTTTATTGGTCACTTTCAGCGGACTTTATTTGGCGGAGTTATTGCCCCTTGAATAACGAAAAACGTCATTTTTCTGCCCGTTTACGTGCAATTAACTGCAACAATCGGACTCCATTTGGCGGATTTATGGGCCCCTGATTAACCTCAATAATGTTTACTTACGATATGTCCTGCAAGCGGGGGATATAAATTCCACATTTGCTTGTTTAAACATGTAACCCCCCCCACACACTCAACTCAGTCCTGGCCTCCCAGCATTACACCACACTATTATCCCTTCTACCGGAGTACATAACTTGATTCAAAATGTGACAACTCAATTTTTCGAGTCACTTCACTCAGGAAAAAGATTCCTTGTAGTAAGGAATGATAAACACATGTTCAATAAATGTATGAAGATACCTGATAAATTTACAGTAGAAATTAGTGTAGGACCTCCATGTTACATGGTAATTCCTTTAAATTTCGTACCAGTTAAATGCAAAAAAAAAGAGAGAAAAAAAGTAAGCAACATGAACCACTGTAGTTTTGGTACACCCCCC